GTGCCTGGCACAGGTAGGTGCTCAGTGAGTACGTGTTGAGTAAATGAATTGCTGACGCTGTTGATATATATTGGTGGGAAAGTATAAAGCTGAAATAACCACTTTTCCAACCATATCCATATGTGGAGTAAACATAGCAAAGTTTTCATTCTAGGCTGGCTTTTTTTTTCTTTTGACTTTTACTAAATTTTATTTGTTTTTATTTATTTATTTTTATTGAAACATAATTGATTATATATATTTGTAAGCGACAGATTTGAATATCAATGCATGTATACACATGTGGTGATCAAATCAGGATAATTAGGGTACTCATTAAGTTTTGTGTACAAAACTTAATCAGTCTGTGACCCTTAGCTAATTTCTTGCTAGCTGCCCCTCCCATGTTCCCACCTCTAATAATCACAGTTCTGTTCTCTTTTTTTTTGAAAGTTCACTGTATTATTGTGATTCATTCTTTCTTCCTTCCTTCTTTCCTTCTTTCTATCTGTCTTTCTTGTCTTTCTCTTTCCTTCCTTCCTTCCTGCTTTCCTTCCTTTTCTCTCCCTCCCACTTATGAGTGAGGACATGAGATATTTCTCTTTCTATTATGTTGGGGTTTTTTTGATTATGTGAAGTATTTTAGGGCAGTGTTCCTCAAAATCTTGTCATATATGCCATGGAAATGCAAGTCCATTTTGTTAGTTTCTTCAGACTGCTGTAACGAAGTACCAAAAACTTAGGTGGCTTGAAACAACAGAAATTTATTTTCTCTGGAGGCTAGAAATCTGAAGTCAGGGCATCAGCAGGGCCACACTCCCTGTGAGGCTTTGGGAAGAAGCCTTCCCTGCTTCTCCCTAGCTTCTGGTGATTGCCAGCAGTCCTTGGTGTTCTCTGGCTTCCAGTGGCATCACTGCAGTCTCTGCCTCTGTCATAACATGAGGTTCTCCCTGCGTGTCTCTCTCTTTATGTGGTGTTTTCCTCTTCTTATAAGGACATCAGCTATATTGGATTAGGGCCACCCGAATGACCTCATCTTGATTACATCTGCAAAGAACCTGTTTCCATATAAGGGTTATAATCACAGGTACTGGGAGTTAGGAGTTCACAATGTCCTCTTGAGAGACACAGTTCAACCCATAACACATTTTAATATTGGTGGAGGCAAATTAAACACAAATGCCTTCCAGTGTTAAATACCATATTTTTTGGCTCTGATACAGTTTTTAAAAAACATTTTTAAATTTCTGAAATCAGGATATATCCTACATCCACAGTCTTAGAGTTGATGAAATTGGGTAGTTTGGATTCTCTACTGCTTATTGGACGTTTTTGCTCAGAACACAGAAATGTGTATTACCTTGAACTTCCCCTTCCTTGGGCTACTGAGCTGCTGCTACATCTAATGAAGGAGGAAAAACAAAATAAGCTTTCTTAGCAATTTGCTATAGAGAAACCACTTGCACATCCATAGGGCAGTTAGCATGAGATGTTTTCTTCTTTGATGACACACCCAGCCAGGTGACTGTAATAGAAGATCAGGCACCACCTGAGCCATGGGTGTCCCCATGGACCTACTTGGAAAGTGGCCAGTCAAAGGTCACAGTGGCAGGGCTGTGCACCCAGGTCTGAATTCCTCTCTGGCAGACAGTAGAGAGGTGTCTATAGTGCTTGTGGTACAGATCGTCCTCCCTTCTTGCTAAACACCTCTCACTATGATGTAGCTCTCTCCTCAAGTCCCCTGACCTCGTTAGAGTGGCCCACTCCTGAATTCTAACATCTTGTTTCATTGGACAACGTGTCCTCAAAATAGCCCCCACTGACGCATTGACTCCCACTGGATCCCGCTCTCTTCCTTGTTTCCTTTTTTTCTCCATTTTCCCCACCGTTTGTCTCTCTTCTGGTTCTGTGAATCAGCATGATGTGCCAAGCCACAGCCTTCTACTTCTACTTTCCAGGCAAACTTCTTGGCTGTCTCTGTCTTTCTTTTCTAGTTGGCCTTCTCTTCTTGGCCATCCTCCTAGATTGGATTTTTGGACACTGATATTCCTAACTCCATTTAGAAGCCGGAGCTGACAATTGATCATTTTACCCTAGCCTGATACTTTCTGGCTCCACGCTCCCACCACTTCTTGTTCAGTGCTCTGTCGACGGGTGTCTTTGATGGAAAAAAAAAAAAAGTAAAACATTCACCTGCCTTAAACCGCTTGAGACTCAGGGTAAAAACAGCAACCATGAAACCAACAGCAACTATAGTAGCAGCAGCAGCAGCACCGTTTACGGAGTACTTTCTGTGTGCCAGCTCTTGTGCTCAGAGCTTTACAGGGATTGGTTCACTTCATCCTTAACAACCACCCTGTGAGGACAAGGGCCAATTCACCTTGTTTCCCTGGTCTGGCTGAACTGTCAGTGGAAAGGGGCAGTAGGAGTTGTTCATTCTTTTCAATGACATTATGGTGAAGATCCCCACTTCTCCAGCAGGGCTGAGTCTGGGCCTCAGAGGCTGAGCAGGAATGCAGGCCTTATGAATGACTCGGAACACAGGCCCAAACTCCTTCCACATGTTCAACAGGGAGGCGTGGCCTTGGAGTGCAGCTCATTGAATCAGCATGGACCCAGCACAGAGACTGATGAGTCAGTCACTTTCAACCACTGCATACCAGGGAACCTGCCTGGTGGCAGGACTTGGTTGGGGGGTATTATGAGGGGGATCACTGGTTCTCACGAAATCAACCTGTTATTCATTAAAAAGAGGGGATGAAGGGAACTGGGTGACTATGACTCTCCAGGCATGACTTCCTAAAGAGCAAATCCTCATCCTCTGGGCTCAGGGACCACCTGTTCACTGGGAGGGTCCTGCTGTTATTTATTTAGCATCTGGCAAAGCTTTCTATTGTGGCTACAAGCCAAGGACTCATGGGGAAATGCTAATTTGGTAATAAATAGATGGATAAATGGAGAATGAATAGATGAATAAAATGACTCATCAGGAATGTTAAATTGAGAATGAATAGATGGATAAATGGATAAACTGGGGAAAAGTTTCAAAACTAATTTGACAGCATCCACACCTCCCACAGTCCTCTTTTCTAACTCTTCCCATGGTTTCATTTTGCTTCTCCTCCCCTAGTGAAAATTGATAGCATTTATGTCCAGAATTAACCCCAGGATGCCGATTCCCATGGAAACCCCCAAAAGGAAGGGAGATACCTAAAGTAGTTCAGGCTGTGCTCCTTTCAGAGCTTTCCTGACAGATCAGTAAAGAGGGGGTCAGAGCTCTCCTGACAGATCAGTAAAGAGGGGCCATGACCACGTCTGCCTGGGGACAGAGCAACTGGGTTGCCTTGTTGGTTCGGAACATTCAGGTATTTTGAATCTGGCAGCTCTTGGAAGACTGGCTACTTTTTTCAGAGCTTTCCTGACAGATCAGTAAAGAGGGGCCATGACCACGTCTGCCTGGGGACAGAGCAACTGGGTTGCATTGTTGGTTCGGAACATTCAGGTATTTTGAATCTGGCAGCTCTTGGAAGACTGGCTACTTTTCTTCCATTTTGGATATTGCATGGTTGAGGGCTGCCCCACCTCAGAGGTGACCTTGATGCTTTAGCATTAGGCCTGGAAACAAAGCTGTAATTCCCACTCCACAGTCCTTGCACTCACATGCCCGGGTAGTCAAGTCAGAGGGTGGAGCCCTGGAGGTTACTCATGGGCTTACAGTGGCATCTCACTTGTAGAATTTTAGAGTTGGGAAAGGGCTTTGAAGTTAGACAATTTAAATTTCCATTGTTCTCCCCCAAATACTAGATCATATGTGGAATCCTCGAAGCATGTCCTGGAAGCCCCAGGTTTTTTCAGAATTCAAACACAGTCCTTCCAGCTCCAAAATTCCACATTCTTCCAATTTTATTTATTTATTTATTTATTTATTTATTTTTAAAGATGACTGGTAAGGGGATCTTAACCCTTGACTTGGTGTTGTCAGCACCATGTTCTCCCACGTGAGCCATGGGCTGGCCCTTTGTTCTTCCAATTTATATCAGTCAGCCTTTTCTAACATTTTTGCAGTTTTCACTGGAGCATTTTATGCTTGGATTCTAAGATATACAGTTGGCCCTCCCTATCAGCGGGTTCCACAATCCATGGAATTAACCAATCTCAGATCAAAAATATTTTTTTAAAAATTGTGGCTGTGGGCCGGCCCGGTGGCGCACTGCTACAGTGCGCCGCTTGGGAAGCGCGGCGGCGCTCCCACCAAGGGTTCGGATCCCACATACAGACCGGTTCCCGCTCACTGGCTGAGCGAGGTGCGGGCGCAACGCCGAGGGTTGCGATCCCGTTGCCGGTCCCGGTCCGGTACGGGTGCGACACTGAGGGTTGCGATCTGTTGCCGGACACGAAAAAAGACAAAAAGGAAAAAAAAAAATTGTGGCTGTATTGAACGTGTACAAACTTTTTTGTCTTATCATTGTTTCCCAGACTATACAGTATAACAACTATTTACATGGTATTGGGTATTATAAGTAATCTAAAGATGACTTAAAGTATATGGGAAGGTGTGCATAGGTTATGCAAATACTATGCCATTTTCTATTAGGGACTTAAGCATTGGTAGATTTTGGTATCTGAGGGAGGTCCTGAACCAATCCCTCATGGATACTGAGGGATGATTGTATGTATTGGGAAGCTTGAGAAGATGGAACACTGCGACTGAAGTCACCTCTCCTTCCTCCTGTCCCCACTATATTTAGGCTTTGTGTTAATGTTAGCAGATCGGGCCTTGGATCCCCTGTGTAGTGGCCGTGAATATCACTAGAATAACTGAAGAGAGGACACATTGCCATTTCTCTGGGCCTCATGTTTTCATTTGCACAATGTAGGTGTCAAACCAGTTGTTAATTAAAGCCTTTCCATCAGTTATGATCTGGCACTTGGGTCCATGGCTCAGCCTGGCCCCGTCACTTGCCATCACTGTGGCCTCATCGACTAAGGGCTTGATGAGTTTCTCCTGATCTTACCAATAGCCTGTGTATGGTAAACGTGTGTGCCTAGGGTGTGTTTTGTGCAGCTGACAGCTGAAAACCTGGGCATGGGGGAAAATTGGGAAGGATGGGGCAGGCTGGTTCCTTCAATGAGCCAAATCAGGTGCTCATGCCTTTGTCTGTCTGTTGCAGGGCCCAACATCTGCACCACCCGAGGTGTGAGCTCCTGCCAGCAGTGTCTGGCTGTGAGTCCCGTGTGTGCCTGGTGCTCAGACGAGGTAAGGAGCAGACACCTGGCCTTGATTCTTCCCCAGACTTAGCTGCTTTTGTGTAGGAGCAGACCCTTGGGGTTATCTCCTCTGCCCTAAATACACAAACCTGTTGTCTGTTCTGGGCAAAACTCGGGCGAATCCTTCCTGCTGGTGGATGGTGAAGAGCTGTGATGGGGATGGCTGGGAGTGCCATCCAGAGTATGCCACATGGCCCCTGGCCCGAGCCGGTTTGGATGGGCCTCCTGGTCTCACCACAACCATTGCCACCCTTCACCACATTTCGCTTGCTTTTTGTTGAGCTGGAACATCCCGGGGAGGTGGTCCTCAGGCCTCAAAAGGAGAGGCAGGGAGGGTTTTAGGTACAGAGGGGTCCTGGCTTACTTCTTTTTCCAGAATTTCAAAATGGCAAATAGAGGAGGAATCTGGCACTTGTGTGTGGGATATTTAGTCAGAGAATCTTTTCTCTTCCCTTCTTGCTGACGATCGGGCCCCACGGCTTTACCTTTTCCTCTCTCTTTTCTCTTCTTTCCTTCCTTGCTTCCCTCTCCTAGGTGTCAATGAGGGAAGGAGCTGGGCCCATTTGGTGAGGATGGGAAGGTGACAGGAAAGGGTTAGCTGTGTCTAGGCAAGCTTTGTTTTGTCTAAGGCCCTGGGGAATGAGTATGTCTGAGGGAATGGCTTTGCTTGTGGCAGGGGTGGAAATTTGGAGCTGGCAAGAGCTGGGGGTGGGGGGTGGGGGGGAGCAGTGACTGTGGCTGGAGAGATTCCCAGTGATTACAGCATCTGAGCCTGAGCTCCTGGCCTGGCTGTTGTTCAACTACTTGAGGTGTCTTCTCTGTCACATAGCAAGTCCCTGATCTCTACAGTTTTCTGACTGCTCCAACCCAGCCCCTCATTTTCTCTGTCTGCTTCTCTTCCTGATTCGCTGGGTTTCCTAAAAAGGCAACCTCCCTGGCAGGCTGGGGGGAGGAGTGGGAGCTGGGAGGCTATGTTTATCCTTGGACAGTGGGCTGCCAGAACAGCAGAGGCCCCCTCAACATGCTGCTGTGGCCTCCATGCTGTTCAGCACTGGAACTGCTTCCAGAGGCAGCTGCCCAACATCTGGGCCACACTGACTTCAATTAGCAAATGAAACATTCCCAGGGGCTGGGAGTGGGGGTGGGGGTAAGAGGGGGGAGATGGGTGAGTCCTTCTCCACCCCCGCAGGTTCTCTTCCCCTCTGGGCTGAGCTGGCTGCTCAAGTGTGATGTAGCCTCCTCCCTTCTCATTTGCCATGTCCTCCTTTCTTTGGTTACCCTCATGATATTATTAAGCTTCTTTCACAAGACTTCTGCAATTGAATCCTGGAAGAAGGGAGAGCTGGAGGGGAGGGAGGGCGTCTCATCTGGGTTGCATGACCTGAGCCCTGCTGGAGCAGAGGTGGAGCAAGGGCAGAAGACTTAACATCTCTCAAAAGACACTTCCCCTCCTCCTTCCTTCCTTTTCAACCCAAGCAAGAGAAAAGGCAGGCAACTCTGGCCCAAAAATTCTGGGGGAAAAGAAAATTGAGTCTCTGAAGGGGTCTGTCCTGCCCTCTTCCCTCCCCCAACCATTTTTCAACTCTCTTGATCTTGTAGTTGAGGTGGGCTGAGGTCTGATCAAAGCTTTTAGGTCACGTGATTTCTGAGATGCAAATGTAGAGTATTTATGGGTGACTTGGTGCATCTTGTCCGCTGGGGCAGTCTGTGGGAGGCTGGGGGGAGAGTGTAGGCTAGGATCACAGCATGATGTAGGACCAGCCTAGGAATGGGGGTTGAGTTCATTGAAGAAATGGGCACAGCTAGGACCAAAGACAATGAGTGAGGGGAGGTAGGAAGTCCAGTGAGATATTCCCCAGGAGAATGGAACATAAACAGGAAAGTAGGGGAGGCCAGGGGTTTAGTGAATGACCACAACTAACATGAAGCAAGAGGGAGGTGGGGAGAGGAGAGAGGATGGAGGAGCCCAGCGTGGGGCAAATGTTTCAACCAGGGGGTGTGGGGTGGGAATCCCCAGCTGTTACCTGAACATGACTGCTATTTTTTTCCTGAGGGAGCAGGGCTTCCTCTGCACAGACCAAGTTTAACTGCTGCAAGTGCCTTGGCCATTGGCTTAAAAAACTAGAGGCAAACCATCTGGTCCATTTTGTACGTGATTTGTTGAATTATCAACTCTGGAGAGCCCTCCGTGCTCTGCCTCCCCTGTCTTGGCTGCTTCAGGCAACACTGGCAGTGCCTGGAAAAACAACTGGTTGGGCTCAGCTTTCCCTTGGTCCTGGAGGACAGCAGCTCTGGGTGTGTGTAGTGAGCGCTTGGCTGCGTAACAGGAAAACATAGCCAACGTAGATGAGCGTGGAGTTTTGGGCCCATCTGCATAGGGCGTGTTCTTGGAGGGTTGGATACTGACCCGGGTTGGAGTGGCATGCTGTTCTGGTCTGTATGTCTAGCAAAGAGGCCAGCTTCTCACAGAGATTCAAGTTATGGTCTCAGCCTCGGTGGCACCACGTTGGAGACTGGAACCTTCCAGACTCATTTGGTGGTGGGTATCACCTGTGGTGCTTGTTAAAGATGAAGGTTCCCAGAACGGACCCTGGACCTACTGCATCAGAATGTTTGATAAACACTGCTAATCGAAGGGTCAAGGTGGGTGGAGGTGGAGTTAAGGTTGCTAGATATATGCAGAACACCACTTAAATTTGAATTAAACAAAAAATTTTTAGTATAAGTATGTCCCAAATATTTGCTAAATTTGGCAACCATAAGTTGGAGGGAAATACTAGGCAGTGTTTTATAGGCCTGAGTGCACACTGGAAGGTAGACCAGCTCATACTTAGTCTGATATCCAGGTATGAAAGAAGAAAGGGTGGGTTTGGATCTGACAAAGTAGAGGAAGGCTCCAATAGAACTTCCTTCCTGTTTCCTTTTCTGCGATGGAAAGGTTTAGGCCACTACTGATGTTTCTTTTTAGTCACTAACATAATTTTGTTCTCAATTCTCTGCTGCTTGTTCTTTCTGCTTTTTTTTTTTTTTTCCTTTTTGTCTTTTTTCGTGACCGGTAACGGGATCGCAACCCTCGGTGTCGCTCCCGCACGGCGCTCAACCAGTGAGCGGACTGGTCTCTATATGGGATCCGAACCCTCGGGCGGGAGCGCCGCCGCGCTTCCCAAGCGGCGCACCATCCAGTGCGCCACCGGGCCGGCCCCTTTCTGCTTTTTTTTTTTTTTTCCTTTTTGTCTTTTTTCGTGACCGGTAACGGGATCGCAACCCTCGGTGTCGAGCCCGTACCGCGACCGGCAACAGGATCGCAACCCTCGGTGTCGCTCCCGCACGGCGCTCAACCAGTGAGCGGACTGGTCTCTATATGGGATCCGAACCCTCGGCGGGAGCGCCACCACACTCCCAAGCGCCACACTCTACCGAGTGCGCCACCAGGCCAGCCCGTTTCTGCTTATTTTTAATCTGGAGGACAAATGTCTACCTTGAGAGTTTTGCTCCAATTTGATATTGTGAAAAAAAAAAGTATGATTTGAGTGTTCTTCCTGTAAACAGTGAGGTGTGTACACCAGCAACTATACAAACTTTCCTTTTCCTCTCCTCCCTCTTTCTGTCCTTTCTGTACGTCTCTCTCTGAGTGTCCAGGCAATTTTTTGTCCTCACTGGATGAGTAAATAAAGACAACAGTGTTAATTTATTTGTATTGGAGATGTTTTGGTGGCTCTCTGGGGTTAAAAAAAAAAAGTCCTAGGGCATATGGACTTCTGCCCTCCAAGAAAAGAGTAACAGTAGGGGTTAAAGTGGTAACTGTTGCATTTATTTGTCTATGCCATATCTAACAGGATTTGAGTATATTTAATGTATCTTGAGATTTTTATATTTTGAAAGCGCTTCACACTCTCAGTTGTGTTTTATCCCTTGCCCAACCCTGTGAGATAGCAGGATAATGACAATTATTCATGCTGTACTTTCCCAGTTTCCAAAATGGATTAATGGACAATGGTACTCACAGCACATATCACTGTCCCAGGAAAGAGGTGATTCAGCAAGCTCACTCAGAACGTGGCTGGAGCCTCCCAACACTGTGCTTGGGATCTTCCTGTGGGCCTTGGCTAATTTTGCACTTTTTGTGTAATGTCCAGTTTCACAGGGAGCTAGAACTTTACTATCTACCCTCCTTCTAGCTTTCTCTCTGAGGATCCTGGAGACCCTCCTTTCACCTTCAACACTGTGCTTGGGATCTTCCTGTGGGCCTTGGCTAATTTTGCACTTTTTGTGTAATGTCCAGTTTCACAGGGAGCTAGAACGTTACTATCTACCCTCCTTCTAGCTTTCTCTCTGAGGATCCTGGAGACCCTCCTTTCACCTTCTCAATCCAGGTTACTGAGAAAGGGAGTGTTGCCCAGGGGTGTCGAGGTCACTGCCTTGGTATCTTCTGGGACAGGAGGCTCTCGGGGAGAGCTTGGCCATTGTGTTCCTGACCTCTGATGTCAGTGACCACAGAGGGAGGGAAGGAGCTGCTTTTGTTTTTCAGTGTTTAATTTTTCTGAGGAAATTCATAACAAACTGTAAGGACTGTCAGTGTGTCTTAGCACTTCAAATCCTGTTCTAATTAGGACTGTCACATTAAAAAGTGGGAGTCAGGAAAGCCCCTCCAAAACATTCTGTCCCTTCACTGACGCAGCCTGAAGACACCTGATGGTCTTGCTGCTGACATTCAGTTTTCTGGTCTCCCCTTCCTGCTCTCTCCTTCGGCATCTGTCTTGTCCTGGAAAGGATCAGCTCCTCACTGCATCTCGTTTTATCCAATCATTGCCTTTTATGGAAGGTTTTCTCCATGGGGCTTTGTAGGCAGCTGGAATCAGAGATGAGGTTAGGGGTTTTTGAGCAAGAAAGAGATTGCTTCCTGAGGGGTGGGAGAGATGGGCAGCGACCACTGGAGGAGTCTGGGCACAAACTCCGGAGTGCCCATGAGGTCTCCCTGCTGCCATTCTGTCCTCAGCCAGAGCTGGGTGTGGGGGAGGAGATTGTCATCTCCCTCAGTGTCATGGAGGGTCTACAATGTCCCTGTTGGAATATTTGTGGCCAGGAAGGTTGAGTCTTATCTACACGTTCCCATTGCTGAGGCCATTTCTCTACCCTCAGACCTGCTGAAAGAGGAAGAAGGAAGCTCTTTTCCCTTGTTGCTTGGGCCAAGGTGGTCCTCATGCTGCTGGTGTTGCTCACATTCCCTTCCACATGGGGGAGCTCTTCAGCCTGTCGGAGGGGGACTGGACAGGCGAGAAAGGGAGACACTTCAAGCATGGGGAAGGGTTTTGGGTTACCGAGTTTTTGAGTGTGGATGGCTCCTGGTGGTCCAGTCCCTCTCCTGGCAGTATGGCTCCTAGGTGACACGAGGGGGCTAAGGAGCAGGACTTATCCATCCTTCTACGCACCTTTCACATCTTCATCCCGCATCCTGTTCCCTACCTGGGGCATTCTCTGGTGTGGCTCTTCCTAGGCTGTCCCTTCCATACTCCTGCTTCTCTGCCTTGACTCTCACTCATACAGAATGCAATAAAACTTATTTTATGAGGATAATTACATTCAGACTATCTAGTTGGCATCTCAATTCTGCCACTTCCTAGCCCTGCAACTTTGGGCAAGTTACTTAACTTCTCCAAGTCTCAGATTCCTTACCTGTAAGATTGGGTCTTTCATTTGCAATCTTCTAAGCCTTAGGTTCTTCACTTGTAAAATAATCATAGTTCCGGCATCACAGAACTGTAGTGAGGATTGCATTCATCCATGGAAAGTGCTCATCACAGTGCCTGACATGCATTAAGTGCTCAGTAATTGTTAACTTTGATTGTTCCGGGATATTGGTATAGGTTATCCAGCTGACTTTTGGAAGTGATTGTAAGGGGGGTGGGTAGAGGTGGGGGTGAGGGAAGAGCCTGAAGTCCTAGACATTGTGAAATGGACCCAGGGAGGGGTTTTCCAGCTTTCTGGCCAATCCCCTCAGCCCGGCAAGGACCCGTTATGGACATGCGTCCACACAGTGCTGGCTAAATTTGCTGAATGTCAGAGCAGGAAGGGGCTAAAATACCATGTCATCTAATCTTCTTATCAAACAGGTGGGGAAACTGTGACTTAAAGTGACTTATCTGAGGTTACATGGCTAGTTAGTGGCAGACATAGGATTGAACCTGTTTCTTGATTTCCAGTGTTCTTTCCAGTACGACATGTCTCCCATTCAATGCTCAGGTGTAAGCTCACACAGAACTTCAGAGAGCTGTGGGATACATGCCAGGGTTTCTGGAAGGGTGCTCAGTTTGTTCTTCGTCCAGGGTGAAGGAGGAAGCGGAAGTGGTAGGATAGGCTTTGGTCAGGTGCCTGCCACTATGGCACTTTTCTAAGCTTGTGGAGTTCATTCATGATCAATTTGTCTAGGAGCTGTTTATCAAGCATCTTATAGTAAGCACTAACACTTATTGAGCACTACGTAGGGAGGGAGTTAGAGTATAACACCCTCTGCACTGAGAAGGTACTTTGAGACTGAAGAAGGAAGCAGGCAGGTCCATAAGGGATACAGTGATGTTTATTACAGGGGTACCTTACCTCAGGAAAGTTGCATGCAGCGAAGAATCAGATGTCTACAGAAGAATCATGTCTACAGCGGATGAGAGCTCTAGCTTTCTGAGGTTAGGCAAAGTTTATACAGCAAAAGCTCTGTTACTAAAAATAACTTCAAAAAAACATGTTAAGAAAAATAAGTTGATAACATCATTCACCAGGTGTCTTTTGATCTTTGAGGCGGGGGTCTTGTGATGTCAGTACACAGATTGCTGATGCCACCTGCTAGTCACTGAAACCTATGTTTGCCCTAAGGTTAATCTATAACTGGTCAGTGAAACAAAGGATGTGGTTAAACAGGAGTCAGCACTGTGGGTGGGGCACAAGATGGTGTTAGTTTCGTTCTCTCTCCAACAACCTCTTACCCCACACCAGGCACTGTGCTATACGCTTTACATGCACCGTCTTATTTAGCCTCTGGTGACATCCCTGTGAGGGAGGGGCTATTATTATTATTGTTGTTGTTGTTACTTAGTAATGTTTATTGTGGTAAAATACACGTAACATAGAATTTATCATCTTAACTGTTTGTCAGTGTACAGTTCAGTGGTACTAGATACATTCATAATGTTGTGAAACCATCACCACCATCCACCTCCAGAACTCTTTTCATCTGGTACAACTGAAACTCTGAACCCATTTGTACTGGATTGAATTATGTCCCCCCAAAACTCACTGACGCTTGAGTTGTGTCCCCCAATTTTTATGTATTAGAAACTTAGCAGGGGCCAGCCCGTGGCTCACTTGGGAGAGTGTGGTGCTGATAGCACCAAGGCTGTGGGTTCGGATCCCTATATAGGGATGGCCTGTTAGCTCACGTGGGAGAGTGTGGTGCTGACAACACCAAGTCAAGGGTTAAGATTCCCTTACCGGTCATCTTTGAAAAAAAAAAAAGAAAGAAACTTAGCCCCCACTGTGACTATTAAGAGGGTGGGAAATCCCATTATGGTAATTGAAAGATGGGGTCTCGAAGAGGTGATTGGACTGTAGGACCATGCAGTAGTGGATGGATTAAACATGGTGGTCGGGTGTGGTTCTGAGAGCTCCAAAAGGAGAGAGGAGAGAGTCTGTCTGTCTCTCTGCTTCCACCATCTTGCAATGTGAGACCCCTGGGTCACTGTTACCACCACCAGATGGACTTTGGACTTCCCAGCCTCAGAAACTGTAAGCAATAAATTTCATTTTCTTATAAATTACCCAGTTCCAGGTATTTTGTTATAAGTAACAGAAATGGACTAATACACCATTAAACAACAATTCCCCATTTCTCCCTCTCCCCAACTCCTGGTAACCACCATTCTACTTTCTGTCTCTGATTTTGACGACTCTAAGTACCAAGGGAGGGATTTTTATTATCCTCGTATTACTGTTGAGAAAACTAGGCTTGGAGAATTTAAGTGACTCACCGCAGTAACCAGTTAGAAGTGGCAATGCTGAGATTTAGTCTTGGCCTATCTACTCCTGTGCTCTTAGCCCTTACACTTTACCACCTCCCATGCTGCCTTCCATCTGTCATCTTTGTGTAAGTCCTGGGTTGGGTGCTTGGAATAGAGAGGGAATCAGCCACACACAGTCCCTGTCTTTCCGGATCTCACAGCCTAGCCAGTGTCTAACATAGTGGCTTCCAAACTGTTTCGACCCTGACCTACAGAAACATGTTGTATATCATTACTTATTATGCATATTATACCCCCACTCCCCAATACATAAATTTCACAAACCACACTTATTTTTACTATTTATACACTTGAATATCTTTTATTCTGTTCTATTGCATTTTATTTAATAAAATGATGGTTAAAACCCACTAAATTGACCCACAAATGAGTCGTATTTCACAGTCTGAAAAATGCTGGTCTAACAGGCATCTTGCTATACAGGCCCCCTTCCTAGCTATCAATCCATGGACAGGGACTCACTCAGCCTTTCTGATACTTCAGTTTCCTGTTTCTGTACAGTGGTCCTAGGGATTGTCCTAGGAAGGACCACACCAGTTCATTTATCCTGGTTTAGCTCTGAGTGCTGGGTAAGCTGGAAGGCATTGGGAGGTGGCAGGGCCTGCAGGAGGCAGAGAGCCACCCTAGCTCTGATCGCAGGGCTTCCCCCTGGGGTCCTATCTTACAGTCCCTGCCTCTGGGCTCGCCCCGCTGTAACCTGAAGGAGAACCTGCTGAAGGATAACTGTGCTCTGGAGTCCATCGAGTTCCCGATCAGTGAGGCTCAAGTACTGGAAGCCAGGCCCCTCAGCGACAAGGGCTCTGGAGACAGCTCCCAGGTGACTCAAGTCAGTCCCCAGAGGATTGCACTCCGGCTACGGCCAGGTAGGGATGGGACTCATCGAAGGGAAAGACCTGGGACAGGTGGGCATAGGGTACAAGGTGAAAGTCTGAGCTAGAAATCTTGGAGCATTAGCTCAGAATGGAGATGGGGTGGGAAGGGAAGGATGTGGGGGGAGGTGTGGGCAGGACAGTGGAAGAAAATGGAAGGTGTTGCGACTTGAGTCAGAAGAGCTGAATTTGGATCTTGACTCTAGCATGTATTAGCTGTTTGACCTTGGGCAAGTTACGTAACCCTTCTGATATAGTAGGTGCTCAGAAAGTGTTTGTTTCTTCTTTCCCCCAGCGGCTGTTTTACCTAGCTTATAGCTTTGCGTTGAGGTGCAAATGAGATACGAGATGAGAAAGCAATTTGTCAGTCCCTTTTCCATGGTGGATTGGGGCAGGGGCTTGGAGGCTGGCAAAATAGGGAAAGAAGGCCTTCAGAGGGAGGAAGGATTAGGCTCAGCGACGGACTTTTTGAAGCGTTGATTTTTGACTTTCCAATTAAATCAGGAAGAATTTAAGAGAGACCTACTATGTGTGAGGCATGTGCTAATGGGTGCTATGGGATTGAGAGAAAGATAGGACACAGATCCTGTCTTTTACAGAGTCTGAAGTATAATAACTGCTCAAACCTCTGTCACTCAGGGTGGAAGACACTTGGGACCCAGAGGATTAGATAGATGGGGATTTAGAGAAGGTGGAAAATTTTAGAATAGAAAAGAAGGGGTTAAAAATAGGAGGGTCAAGCATCGCCTGGAGAGCCGGCCTGCCCCTGGGAGTTGCGGGACTTTGACAGGTGCCTGTTTCGGTTTTAATGTCTGCCACAGTCTGGTACAGGCTTTCTCCCCCTCATCACGTGTTTGTTTTTACTGTACTGAACTTTATTTACGGCAGCTGAAATTAGTGTCCACCTGCAGGTGTGAGAAATGGTGGATCCAGAAATAGTTTTGTGTGATAAGGTTTTTAAAAAGGTGGATGTGTTTCAGCTGCGCCCATTTTATAACTGCCCACAGCCTGAGCTCTCCACCTTTGTGCGGCTCCTTTCCAGGAGCTGGGATGTCTACACCTGTTGAAAATGAAACTGGAATTCTCAACAGGGGAATTCAGTGTTTCCTCCTGCAATCCACCTAAATGCCCACTTCTTACATAGGGATTCAGGAAATTGGCAGGTGGCTTCCAGAGTCATTTTGGAATATCACAGTGTCTTTTTAAAAATGAAGGGCACTGTGTAATACTTGAAAATAGCCTCCGGGCAGTGGTTCCCACAGTGGGTTCCAGGGCCAGCTTCACCCGAGAGCCCCTGTCCGGTTCATGTGTAAACACCTTTTTTTTTTTGGTAGAAATAGTATTTTTATCTATCAAGACCATCAAGTCCTTGTTTCTATAACAGCTCAAAGTAATATTTCTGGACCATTTGACATATAAGAAGTCAAAGTGGAAATTGTCTAAGTGCTTTTGTGACAGCAGCGTGGGCTGCGGGCAGGTGTTGGGTGAGCTCCTCCCATCTGGCACGCAACTGTGAGGCTGGATTCCTGGAGCTTTGCCTTCCCTGAGGAGCCCCTCAGGTGCTGCATCACCCTCTGAGGACCCAAGCCCTGGTCCCACCTCCTGTCTCGTGGGACCCGTCTGCAGGGGTTAGGAGACCTGTGGCCCCTTGTCCTGTGACAGCGTGCCATGCTCGGGAAGTCCGTGCCATGTTAGAGGGTATGCTGCATGCCAGACTGACCCAGGGACCTGTGATGTTGACACACCACATGGTAACGTGTTTTCTAGACACAATTTGATGTAAGGAGATGATTAAATAAAGTGCCATCTTGAAAAAAGAAAAATAGGGGGGTCAAGAGATTGGAAGAGGAATAGAATTGTGAGTGGAGAAAGGGCACCAGGGCTTTCAAGTTTGGTTTGATCAAGCAGTTTACTTAGTCTCAACTGTGTCCAAATCTACTTATTTCAGTTTTAAGAGGGAGAAGAGGAGAAAAACTAATATCCTCTCCATTCCAGATGAGAGGGCACCAGGGCTTTCAAGTTTGGTTTGATCAAGCAGTTTACTTAGTCTCAACTGTGTCCAAATCCACTTATTTCAGTTTTAAGAGGGAGAAGAGGAGAAAAACTAATATCCTCTCCATTCCAGATGATTCGAAGAATTTCTCCATCCAAGTGCGACAGGTGGAGGATTACCCTGTGGACATCTACTACTTGATGGACCTGTCTTATTCTATGAAAGATGATCTGTGGAGCATCCAGAACCTGGGTACCAAGCTGGCCTCCCAGATGCGCAAGCTCACCAGTAACCTGTGGATTGGCTTCGGGGCCTTTGTGGATAAGCCTGTGTCACCATACATGTACATCTCCCCACCAGAAGCCCTCAAAAACCCTTGCTTTGAGTAAGTCCCTCTTCCAGAAGCCTGGGAAACACCCCTTTCCTTTGCCCCTGGCAGGTCAAATTCCTGGTTCCCAGTTCTAGCTCTCGCATGGCTTTGTTGGCTGCCTTCTGGCCAAACCATAGCTCCTGTCTGCCTTGGTCTTCCTGTCTAGCAAATGGGCTTAGCCTGTTGATCTGGAGTACGTGTCAGTTGAGCACAAGGTTGTTTGGAGACCCAGAAAGAAAATTCATCAGCTTCTTAGCCTTGGTCACAAATACATCAGAGGTAAGAGAGAATGGGAGGAAATGAGGTCAAAAGTAGAGAGAAATTTACAGAGAAGTGAACAAGAGTCATGATTTCAGAAGGATGGATTCCATAGTTGTCATTATTGCCTTCCTCATCAAGGGCATGCATCCTGCAGGGTTAAAACGTAAAAAATTAACTCCTAGAGGAATATAAAAGAGTGGAGGTGGCATTTATTGAACCCTTTATGTATTGCGTCTCTGACGTTTTGGCTTATAACTGAGAGGCTTATTTATTTAACTGGTGGAGACTATGCAAATCCATGTATTATAATAATTTAAAATATGGTTACTGAGCCTGACAAGATGTGAATTCACTTTTTAGTTTTCAAAGTTAGATGATGTGGCTTTTAAACTTCTGTCTGGGTTGTAAGGTTTTCTTGTAAAGACATCAGCTATCAATTAAACAGACTATTAGGCTGGGGACAGAAATGCTCCGGTCCGGCCTGATCTATCAGTTTATTGATGGTTCAGGAACCTTAGCTTATTGATGGACTTTTGCTTTATTGTTACCTTGGAGTAGTGTTACGTATAAGCTGATAGCAACAACTTGAGCCTTGCTCTACTCTAAGTGCTTTGCATGTACTAACTCACTTAAGACTCACAACTCTTATGAGACCTGTGCTATGATGTTCCCATTTTCAGATTAGGTTTACAGAGGCTTGCCAAAGGTCCCATGAATAGTAAACGGGGAGCTGGGATTTGAACCCAGGCAGTCTGGTTTCACAGCTCAGTCTCTTATCTTCTAGGCTAGCTGGAGGTGAGGTTGATGTGACATCTCAGGTAATTTGAGGAGTTAGGAGTCTGAACTGTCTGGGTTGTTGTGGGTTTAACTGATGCCAAGACTCATATAGCACTGGATGGAAGGCTGGCAGGCATTGTCCAGCCCAATGATGGGCAGTGTCATGTTGGCAGTGACAACTATTACTCTGCCTCCACTTCCATGGTGAGATCTCTGATACCACGTAGATTCCCCGTTCCCTATGGCCAGGGCTGCTGAGGTAGAGTCCTTATGTGAATATGAAAATGGCAGCCCATCTTCTGGGCAGGGGGCAGGGCTTGGTTTCAGCCTGCCCCTGCCCCTTGCCAACTAGACACCCTCATCCAGGGTACCGCCTGTACAACATTAGAGATGGCCCTGACTGGTCGGTGTTATGACATGCCCACTGTCACCAGCAGCAGCAGCACAGCATCAATAATGGTCACAGAGGACTTTCACAGGTCCAGCTGGAAAGCAGCCCTTCCCTTCTACTCTGCACTGATTAGCCCCTTCTTGGAATACCATGCTCACTTGTGGTTGTTGGAAGATAGAGGAAAAAGAGACAAAGATCATCAAAAGCATGGATAGCAGGTCCTATGAGGAAAGGTTAAAGGGCTCAGAATAATTAAGCTTGAAGGAAAAAAGGCTAAAGGATGATTTAGCTGGTATATGAGAAGACTTCTTATAAGTTGTTTTACATGGCTGTAGAAGGTTAAACAAGAGGAAAGGAATTTAAATTGAAACAGGAGCCATTGCTGTAAGCCATAAGGGAAGTGTGTTGACGCTCAGATTGCTGATACTCTAGGTATCTGGAAGGAGGTGTGAGCTCTTCATCTCTTAAAGACAATATAGGAACTCCCTGGAATAGGTGGCTTAAAGATACACCTGTGTAAAGGGTGGAGACTGAGCTGGATGATCTCGTAAGCTCACTGCAAGATCTAGGCTCCCATAACATGTTCACAATTCACCACCTCCCCCACTGTCACTTGAGTCCCTTGGTGTCAGCCATATCCAAGTTGATCACTATCAGGCAATGGGCAAAACAGCAACCTTTGACACCTAATCTATGCAAGGCACTGGTCCAGGGGCTGAGGGAGATAAAGAGACTATGTAATGTCCTTTTGTGTTTGTAAGATCCTTAAGTTTTTGGCTTACTTGAGGAGAAAGGAGATATGTGTTTACTAATAATACTAGATGCATGATTAGTGCTAACTGGGCAGTGTAGTCACTAAGGGCTGCGGGTATTCAAACAGGAAAGCCCATCTTGTGCTGGGTGGTCAGGAGTGCCTCCTGGAGGAGGTGGGACTTGAGCTGGGTCCTGAGGAAGGAGGAACATTACCAAAACTAAGGCCACTCCAGGTGAGAGGAAGAGTGGGCCAGATCAGTACTGAGTGCAAGAGGGAGACAGGTGAGTGATGTTTGGAAAGAAAAGCTGAGACTATGCAGTGGAGTCTCATGAGGGCCAGGCCAAGGCATTTTTCAGTATCTCTAAAACAACGAGGTCTAGCCCAGTGCCTGGCCCATGGAAGCTGCACGTGGTATTCGTGCATTGAAACTGAGTAGGAGGAAAGAGCTGCTTAGTTTTGACACCACTGGCTGGCACCTCTTCATTTTCCCTGAAGTTCACAACTAGATTTGTGCGGCTTCTTACCCTTCTCGCCTCACTTTGCCCATGGGTAAAAAAGTTTAAGCACCATCACTGTCTGGGCCACAGACCAAATCAGCCAACTTCAAAGGCTTAGAATCCAGGGACATATGTGAGACTTCATTCACTTCTGTATCTTCCCCTTTTCCAGGATTATCCCTCTCTGGGACTGATGACTGAGAAGCTATCCCAGAAAAATATCAATTTGATATTCGCAGTGACTGAAAATGTAGTCAGTCTCTACCAGGTAACTATCCCTTTGGGGCTTCCGGGAGTGGGCCCTGCGATGTGTGGAACTGGCCCAAGGAGCCAGCCCAGGCTAGCATTGCCCATGGTCCCCAACCAGGAAAGACCCTCCTTCAGCCTACGCCCCAGGAGCTAAAGATTCCTCTCTAGCCTTTCTCCTCCAACCTGAACCCACCAGGAGGGGTGTGTTGATGTTTGCAGTAGTGGAGGGAAGGTAATTCAGTGGGGGAAGGAGTGTAAGAGGTTTCCTACAGTTTTGCTCAGGGCTGAAAAACTGCTAGATGTATTCCTGGCAGTGGCAAGTAAAATACCCATGCCTTCCTAATCCTCATTTTAAGACCCTCAATCTGATTTAGGGAAGGCTTTTGGAGACTACCACTTTCCTTTGATAAGCTCTAGACATCTTTGTCTTCCTTTCTAGAACTACAGTGAACTCATCCCAGGGACCACAGTGGGGGTTCTGTCCACTGATTCCAGCAATGTGCTCCAGCTCATTGTTGATGCTTATGGGGTAAGTGTCTTGTGCTGGGGATGTGCCTGCCGAGAGTCCACCTCACTTAGCTTATGCAGATCAGGTCTGGGAGTCCTGGCTGCCAGTCCACCATGCAGCCACACTGCTTTCCTCTTGTTCTCCAAGATGCCAGGCAATGGCCAGCCTGAGGGTGGGGGTGGGGATGGTGATTAGATGGAGATGAGCAGGACCCTGAAGTTGTGGGAGGCAGAGTGAGGGAGAGCTGGGCTCCATCAGCAGAGGAGAAAGGAGCTGAGCCATGCTGAGGTTGACTAAATATTGGATAGAAAGTGCTCCTACGCAGGGTAACCAGTATTGGCACTCTCCTTTTGCACATTGTTGAGGCCTGCAGGAGAGTGTAGCTGGTTTAGGTTTTACCCAGGCTCACCTACACACTGTGGGGACAGAAAGAGGGAATTTGTTCCTGGGCAGGAGACTGGCTCCTAGAGGTGCTCCAGCAGCTTCAGGCAAACCTCAGCATTTGGCACTGCCAGGGTGAGTCCAGAACCACCTGGTAGATTTTGCTTGGGATGGAATTGGCTCTTGCCCATTTCCTTTCAGCTCATTTCTGTATCCTCTTTTGCCCTTTTCTGCTCAGAAAATCCGCTCTAAAGTAGAGCTGGAAGTACGTGACCTCCCTGAGGAGTTGTCTCTATCCTTCAATGCCACCTGCCTTAACAATGAGGTCATCCCAGGCCTCAAGTCTTGTGTGGGACTGAAGATTGGAGACACGGTAAGGGGGGCTGGGTGGGGGCTGAAGCTGCAGCTCTGACTCTGGCCTGTGCTCCAGAGCATTAGTGGGCACCCCACCCCTGTCCTCCCCTGTGCCTTCTTCCTGAAGCCATTACAAGTTAGATGTGATGGAGCTCCAGCCTTTTCCTCTGAGGCTTCCATTGCCTAAGCCCTCTCTAAGTGGACATCATTATCAGGATTTTAAAATTTTATTTTATTTTTGTTTATGCTGTAATTTAAAATTTTAATAAAATAGATAATTTCAGATTACATAGAGAACAAGTCCATCCACATGTTGATAAAATTTTAGAAATATTTTCTATAAAAAGTTTAGTATTTGATTGGGAATGAATCTATTATAATATGATTTCTACAGGTACAGCCTTCCCATTCTCACCTCCATTCAGTTTTGAGAAATGTTAAAAATACAGAAAAGTACAAAAATAAGACAAGATATCCATATACCACAATTCAGAATTAATCAGTATCTTTCTATATTTACTTACAGTCTTTTCTTTTTAAGAGAAATGGATGTTTATGTAAAAAGCTGAGTCCCGGGCTGATCCTGTGGCTCACTGTGGAGAGTGCGGCACTGGGAGTGCTGAGGCCGCGGGTTCGGATCCTATATAGGGATGGCCGGTGTGCTCTCTGGCTGAGCGTGGTGCGGGCGACACCACGCCAAGGGTTGCGATCCCCTTACTGGTCCCCCCCAAAAAAAAATTTTTTTTTAATTTTTAAAAAGCTGAGTCCCCCTTTTAACCCCCACCCACCTCTCATTCATTCCCTTCCCTAACACCACGCCAAGGGTTGCGATCCCCTTACTGGTCCCCCCCAAAAAAAAAAATTTTAAAAATTTTTAAAAAGCTGAGTCCCCCTTTTAACCCCCACCCACCTCTCATTCATTCCCTTCCCTTTCCATTCTTCCTAGGTGACCACTATCAAGAGTTTGGCCTGTATCCCTCTGATTCTTTTCAAAAACATTTACATACATACATGTATTCATTGCCCATTAGTACTAAATTTCATGAGCAAATTTTAGTTCAAATTTACAAAAAGATATTGTACTATATGTGTGCTTTTGAGACTTGATTTTTCCCCTTCAATATGGTTTCTCAGGGCCGGCCCGGTGGCGCACTGCTACAGTGCGCCGCTTGGGAGCGCGGTGGTGCTCCCGCCGAGGGTTCGGATCCCACATGCAGACCGGTTCCCGCTCACTGGCTGAGCGAGGTGTG